ATAATTTCGACATCCGGGATAGTCAGTCGCTCACAGTCCAAACCCACAGTCTTAGCCACGGCTGATCGGAAGTCTAACAGCTGAATGTAAGAACGAAAATCCGGCGTAAGTGCTGATGTAATTAGACAAACAGTATAAATGAGGATAAGAAGCCTAGAATTTAGGTAAATCACATTCATAAATAAGCACTTGAGCCTCCCCACAAAGAGCATTTAGAAATAAATCCGGAAGGCAATCCTCGAAGTCGAAAGGATGAATAAATTGTACAGGAAGAATGGTATTCTCATTAAAAGGCACATGTTTTTAGTATCAAAACTAGAGATCTAGGGAACCCAGTATGCCGCTTGTCGAAATGGACGTGTTGGCTGGAGAAACGTTTTTGCTCGATAGCTGGTTACTGAACCCTTTTGGATGCTACTTTTAAAATAAAGTGCATTCTTCCCCCCTTTCCTTGTTTCTTCTCTCTCTATACGGGCAAACTGTAAACTGGGAGCCGGTTTTTGAACGCCACAAGTGTTGACTTCGAAAGAAATGAAGTTTCTCCATCATGCCTGGCAAACACAACGTTGTCCTCATGTCGAAAGCAATTTAATAAAATCAGCCACCCAATAGTTCGACAGAAATTCCCTTCCAACTGAGATCAATTGCTTGCGCGTACTTCAATGTACATGCCGTTTTGGTTAACAGAAATTAATGTTGAGAAGAAGCCCTGCGACAGCGGCAGCCTATAAATATCTTCAGCATCGTGTAGTCGATCGCGTTGTGTCTCAAACAAGTGCAGAAAAAGCATTCGTTCGCATGACTTTCGAAATGATATCTGCATGTTCTGTGCAAATTCTCAACGCACTAACTGAGGTTATATCATTTGTGAAAAAAATCTTCATCACATGCAAGTAAAAGGCGAAATTAGACTGCAGGGGCAAATGTCGCAAAGACGGCACTGTAGGAGTCTACATATGAGGATTCCGAGAAGGCGTTTATCGTCTTCAGAAGGTTAATTTAAACACCACCTAAGGAATGAATTAAAAACCAGAAAAAGTTTAATAATAACAAGAAACTATATTTTGGATTTTCAGCTTCTTTAAGCACAAATCAGCACTGTTCTACAAATTCGACGTTCTTTTAAAACTAAAGAATACAACTTTTTTTCTATCCTTAACAAATTTTGCTGTTCTTCGGTAGTAAGAAAACTATATACGAGTCTCAAGTACAACGTTTTTCTCCTGATTGTAGAAGCAACCAGTAGTTATAAGGAGCAAGATCCAGCGACTCTATTACCAGTCAGATAGATTGGTTCGATAGGCAACGATAAGATCGCTTTTGATGCCCTATGGACTGATGAGTTGTCATATCACAGAATAAATAGTTAACCTGTACTCAAAGGCAAACATTAGACAAATATTAAAAAGATATGTTGACAGTCTTTTGTGCACGAGTGAGCTACCAGTGTGACTTGGTCAGGGAAATAATTTGCTTCATTGATATTTTGCGACGGTGGGTCCTCATGCAAGCGAGTTTTTAGACTATCCACATAAATTTATTTATTCAAAGGGGCGTTTCTTCCGATATGACAGTGGCTTTTTAAAATATGCTTTTTGTATGAGTAACATAACAATTTGCTATGGCAAAATAGTCTTACTGAACGAGCTGATGATAAATGGCAAGCATTGATAAAAATCTTGACAAAACAAATCATAAAGAAATTTTAGATGAGTAATTAGGTAAGACATTTAACAATGCATAAAAACTACAGACACATTTGCTGCACTTACGTCGTCCGCAGTTGTTAACATTGAATTTAATAAGTTGAGTTGAGAATTCATAAATATCAGCTCACAATCGAATATTCAACTGGTCTCCAGTTTGTGCACATTAATTGACCCCTCTCAGCCAAACTATGTGTGTTAAGAGCTAAGTTTTCTACAAAACATTAAAAAGACAATTAAATCGAATCGTATTTTCCGGTGCACTTATCTTGCAGTTCATTTAATCTGTTTCGCAAATACGGTTATATTTCCCGTAAGGTTCTCCCATCTCCTACGCAAATTCCCACTGGTGATTAATTCTTAAAGAGACAGCGGGATAAAAGAGTGTGTTAATTGTAAGTGCTTCTGTGAAGACGGATGCAGTGTTGACATTAAAGAATGGAATGACATCGCGTGGCCCAACAGAACACGCAGGGCGTTGGCGCCAGTTTTGACACACACACTGCTTGTTCGCGCTGAACCATCGCCAACCCACTGGATAAAAATCAAATAAATTTAATGTTCATATATATGACTTCTAAGATGGGGTGGATTAGGTTGCCGCGATTGCAGACGCGTCCATCCACCCCCTCCTCGTCCTCCGTCTGCCCCTGCTCTGCCCCTCTCTGTATAGAGTCGGTTTATCGCACCAACTTAGGCGCAAATAACCACATGTCCAAAGACTGCACGAAAACTGACGGCGCCGATTGGTAGAATCACGGGCGCGGGGTTTAAAGGCTGCCAGAATTGACGGTGGAGGGGGGAGGGAGGGGGCTAAGCGCGGACAAACATCTGAGCGCTCGTTTATTCTAAAATGATTTCGAAGTAGAGTTGACGAGGCGCAAAATGCTAATCTACAAAATATAATCAACAGCACTACAGTATTCTGTAAGCAGGCAAAGCGATCAGATGGGGAAAGCCCAGTTCACAGAAGATGAGGGCCTTTCCTCGAGCGTTAAAATAAAAGAATACTGTAAAATACTTAAGGATCAACGACTCTTGTTAAGCAACTGCTATACACAAAACTGCGTCTTGTCTAATCAGGTGTCCCATATTTGCTTTGAGTGGGCATCACTTAGAATAATGAGAAACTTCAAATCAGACAATAGCATTCCAAAAATCGCAAACTCTCCTTACTGTCACTTGATCAAAGTTAGAGTTTTCCCTCATGAATGAGCATTTACTTCTCATAAACAATGAACGAAGACACTAAAAATCTAACAAAGTAAAAGCCGTCCCTAATAGAGCGAAACTCTTGCAGGAGAATGCACGCTATTACTCGTAGAATACCACTTTATGCTGGCTTGTTTATTTGGAAGAGAAAAACAGTGCAACAGTCCCTTGATAGTCAGTGAGAAATAAATGTTGTCTTACATCTAAGTTAACGTCATGATTACCAAATTTCCTCAAGGTTTTGCCATGGCTTGTTATGCAATAAAAACACATTTCTCATAAAATTAGTTTGTATGAGCTAGGTGCAAATTCTGGGTAGCTATTTTCAAATATAATTTAACAGTAGCTCCAGGATACAGTCTAGTGTGAGTTGAATTTTAAATAAATCAAGAAAAATAAACCACAGGTACTGATCCTACCATTAATAACTGCTCAGATGCGCAGAGGCAAATGAAATTTGGGGTCAGTTTCGCTGCACACCAGGGTTATGCATCTGGCAGTTTTAACACACACCTATTGATACTCACCACGCGTTTCAGCAAGTCATCTAGTTCAAATTATCATTGAAAACGTAGAGAATTTTGTTTTCTTTAGTCATTAGTTAACAGAAAGCAGTGTTCTAACAGCTAATGGCAGTTTTTCTGAAACTTTCTGCCTGTGATTTTTGAAATGTCGGCTTACGATGCCTGTTAAGTGTCCAAGCTACATTCTAATAATTTGCAGCAATCAAGAGAACTTATCATCGGATCTTGAACCGTAATTGGGAACTTAAAAGTAGTTTAAAAAACCATAGGATTGCGCGAAAACTTATACAGTGTGACAAACAGATTTCAATTACTGAACAACGAAAAATTCAAGTCTTGCAAACATTTCATCACTACACATTGCAAACGTTACATTTTCAAGTCAGTACAAGAAAGTGAATTAAATAAATACCTGGATTATGTGAATGGTGAGTTACTGTTCTCAACTACTTAAAAGAACTTGACTAATATCTCAGCTATCGTCTATGACTTAAGGCGAACTTTCGCAGGAAGATTTGTGCGTGCCAATGAGAAGACGTAGTAAAAATAAACTGCAGCCATATATGACTTTTATTATATTTTTTCAAGTTGACTTTTCAGAGAATCTGATGGACTAAAGCCTACAGAATCCCAAAAGGTTGTTCTCGATAAAGAAATATGCTGCAGACGTTTTAAATAACAAGAAAGATGGTTAAAAGCATTAAAAACCCTTAAACAAAGCTAAGTCCCCTCGAAAATGTCCTGATATTCTTATCTCATGTTACTTACTTAAACTACTTACTTAAACCTTCATCAGTTACCTGTAAACAAGACTGAAATTTCCAGTTTTCTGTTTTTCATTTTGCTTGGTACAATATGGCTAGTTATCATAAATAATAACCAAATGGATTCGAACTACCTGCCTATGTAATTTACAGTCACACAGAAAGGACACGACTAATGTTATCATTATTATTCAATACAATGCGTTATTTGCAACAGATAGCTTATTGTAGACAAATAATTTCTCCTTTTACAGAAAAGAGGTCATAGTCTGCTATATATGACCCACATTGTTTAGTTTGCAGAACTCGAGCGCCCGAAATAGTTAAGAACAAGCAACTAGAAAGGTACTTTTCGTGGGGGGAAGGAACAGTTATATAATTAAGAGGAAGATGCGATCACTAACAAGAGTTTTATTTGCCTGACGTTTCGGATTCCCTCGGGAATCCTTAATCAAAGATGATGAAAACATAGGCATGGTCATGCGCAGATGAGGTGCATACATGCACAGGCTGCACTGTATTTATAGTTCATAGTGGTCATCCGCGTGTGTGTGATAATTGTTCATTTCTGTAGCCACCGCTTCGGTCTTAACTGATGCGGTACTGGCTTCACACTTCGCGTTCGACTCACTAATTGCCCTGTCAGCGTCACCGTCAGGTTCGCATCTTCTTCCTCTGAACTGCTTCCTGGGACTCGAATATTCTCTACTATTGGCAGTTATATAATTTATTTCTTCCCCCTACTTCTCCCCTAGAAGGTGCTCAGAGGTAGATTTCAGTAGGTGGTTTACGCAGTTATCTTTTTTGACGGAAAGAACATGAATGGCAAATTTGCTTGCCTGCTTTTCGGTCTTCCTGGCTGCGTCCAGAGCCGTTCGATATTCCGTCAGCTGGGTGGTCACTGAGTTGGACTGCTCGTTACGTGCCTGCTTCTCCTCACTTGCGGAAGTCTCTGCAGACACAAGCTTTCGACGAAGACTCTCCAGTTCCTCGGCCTGACGCTCACACCGATTTTGCAGCTCCCGAGCGCGGGTTTCTGCTGCATGCAACACCTTGGCCTTCCCAATGGCTGCCAACTACAATGACAAAAAGTGGCAGCGTTTCAACCATCCTATCAGGCTTTTTTGTGATGTGTTGAACCACCGACAGCAGCTCCACCAGCTCTGCAATCACTAGTTCAAGAGGTGTCATGTTACTTGCTTGGACAGCTAGATACTTTAAATCATAGGCCGCACAAGTTCATTCACAACTGACCTCCTTCGAGGCAGTTATGTAGCACATTGCATGAACCAAATCTTAAACGGTGCTTACGAGGAGGGACCAAACCACTTGAAATACGCTATGAACTCAAGGGCTTTGAGAACACGTGGACATGCCAGTGGCAGAGCTCTGGTAGTGTGAACCCAAGAAGGGAGTAATTAGACCCTTTAATAGACCTCTAATGCTTATAATTTTTCCAGTTGTACAGATAATTCTGAAGGAACAATTCTGTGAAGAAAGACAGCCTCAGAGTGCAAATTGGTAGTTTTCCAGATGGATCTGAATATATATGCTGCATAATGCTGTTCAGGGGAAATATCTGGGATTAATTTAGTAAAGAAATATTAGTAAGCAGGTTTCGGCAGATTTGAATAATGCATTTGACATCATTGTGAAAAACTCGGCGGCCTCGGTAGGATTCGAACCAATACCTACAAGGGGAGGCTTTAGTATAGCCAACGCTCTAGTTAACTGAACTACGAGGCTGGACGGGTAAATCGGTCCAAACGCGATTAACTTCCCGGCTCACGATGGGGGTCTCGTAGTTCAGTTGGTTAGAGCGTTAGCTATACCAAAGCCTTCCCCTTGTGGGCCTGGATTGGAATCCCACCGAGGCCATTAAGTTTTTTCCATAAATAAGTCAAATGAATCCTTAAAATCTGCCTAAGCCTCCCTACTAATTAAGTTTGCTTGGTAGTCATCCGGTGCGTACTAGGTTGATTGCTTAGGAAATCCTGCTTGAAAAGTCAGTGTATTGTATCAGAATTGGTGGATGTCTTACCTTACAGTAGGCTGGGTGAGTAGCTCGACCCATGTGGGATTAAACTCATGGCTCCCGGTGGGAACCCAGTAGCTCAGTTGGCTAGAGTGTTAGTTGTACTGAAGCCTTCCGTTGTTGATGTGGATTCAAATTTCACCGAGGCCACCGAGTTCCTCACAATTGGGTCAAACTAAAAAGGTTAATC